CCTGAAAGTGTAGTGGATGCTTCTCTGCTGATGGTGAGAGATTCAGACAAGCTACTTAATGATTAAGAGACTAGACGTGTTCTCTAAAAGATGGGAAGCATCGCTCTTGCTTTGCCCAGCCTGGATTCCCCAGGCAGACTCAGGGCACGGACGCCACTCCTTGCCTGTTTAGGAAGCAGCATGATTAGCCCTGGAGAACAGCAAAACCTTTAGGGGACTATGAGAGCTGAAGGTTTGAAAGTGTTTGGACTGTCAAACGAGATTGCTAGGTTCTTTGAGACGGGCAATGGACACCAGTTCAGCATCCTTGGACCATCTCAGCAGGTGATGGTTGACAGATTAGAACTTCTAGTGTAAACTCTTAGGTCTTGTGGCTTGCAGGATAGATATTGAGCACCACCCTTTCGTTTTACAGGTGAGAGTTCAGAGATGTAAAGTGACTTTCTCAAGGTCTCACAAGCTAACCAGCAGCAGAGGAACTAAAAGCCTGGGTCTCTTGGATTGTGGTTCACTGTTCTTTCCTGGTCGGCATACTATAGGATTTATTATTATTATATCATCATCATCATCATTTACTATGTTTAGGCTTATGTTAAGTGCATCAAGGAGAAAGAGATGCTTTAATGATCTGTGGCAGACAGCTGCTGTGGAGCCTATGAAAGCAACGTCACAATGGATCCCCCCTTAGAATCTTGCTGCCCAGGCATCCTGGACCCTGAAGCCAGGGAGCATGCTGCTATCGTGGGCAGAAACATTGGTGGGTGGAAGATGTGTTGCACTTAGGACAGGTTTCTCCAGAAGCCAGTTTTCTGCTTCCCCTCCCCTGCCACCAGGCCCGCCTCCTCCCAGCTTCAGCCGAGCTCATTGCTGGTGGGATCAGCCCTATCCACCCCTCGGTTAGCAGAGGGGGCAGAGCCGGTTTCTGCCACTTTGTGGACATCAGTGACCTCTCCCACTCTGGGAGCACATTACTGCCCTCAGGCAGCCTCTGACATCCGGTGGAGATGAAAGCACCAAGGCACCAGCTGGTCTCCAGCCCCTGGTTTTTATTAAAGGCCAAAGTCTCAAACATTCCTAATGAGGACAAAAGGCTGGCAAGGTGTGTAAAATTGGGTTGAAACCTGAGACAGGGGTCAGAGCAGAGAGAGGACTGGGGCCCAGCTGGGGCCTCCCTTCCCACTAGGTACGGGGACTACTGGCAAGGACTGACTGGCTGCTGTGTATTTACCTCCCACCTCTCCATTTACTCAGAATTAACCTACTTGGCTTGAGCAGATACCCCAGCCCTGTGTTGTCTGCCCGTGGAGTGGAACAACATCCCTTAGTCCACCGAATCCCAGCAGCTAGCTGGCCAGCCAGCCTGGGAGACCCAGACTGCCATAGCAGAAGCCCCTGAAACTGGACTTCGGCCCCCAGACTCATTTCCTTTCTGAATCATAATGGGATTCTGGGCCAGTTTCTGTCTGGGCCATCAATGGAGAGTGAAGTCACCATTAGGTGTGGGGTTCTGGGGGTTCCATACACATCTAGCACCCACATGTCTTCACATCTCATGGGGAAGGACAGCCCTGCAAACCGAGGGGGTCCCTTGGCCCAGTACTTCCCAAAGGGAGCCATCCTTGAGAGCTGTTCCCAGAGACTCCATTTACCCTGATGGATCCCAGGTAGGCAAAGCCAATCTCCCAAGTTCATACACAAACCAGCTCATATGCCCTGAAACAGATAGCATATGGAAATGCCACCCTGCTCCTATGGCATGGCAATGATGGGGACATGGTGATGGCAGCCTTTGCTTATTCCCTGTTAGAGGAGCCAGAGAGGCTTCCAGAAGTCTTCCCAAGGCCCTACCTTGATCATAGCATGGACACAGACATCCCTCCTGCCAGGAACCTTTTGGCTGTAACGCAGTCATCCTTGCTTGCCGGCACCTGCAGCTCCTTGTGTATGCTGTTGGCTGTCACCAAAGCACACGTGGTTTGCTAGGCAGGGATCCTCCACCCAAAGGGCCTTTTGTTAGCTACTCCATGGTAGGGGAAGGCACAAGTGAAGGAGTGAGTGACGTGGTGATTCCCAGGAGCTATTCATCAGCTATGGAGTTATCTAAGCAAGGGGGAGAGGATTTCGGCCTACGTAACGTTATGTGGAACAGAAGTTGGCATGCAGAAGAGAGTAAATGAGGACGTGAGGTGGAACTCCATTACTGAAAGCCCCCAAACAAAAAAGCGGAGTCTTGATTCGGAAGCCGAGCAAGGGAGGAGCTGAGGTGTTTAAGCAGGGACATTGACATATGAGTGTCTGGCACTAAAGGACTTGCTAGTCATGCAGCCTCGGGCAAGTCCTTACCTTCAGGAACATTCGTTTCCTCCGGTGTGAGACAGGCATGATAGGAGCTTTCACCTGGTAGTGCCAGCTAGGGCTCACCGAGAGAAAGCAGCTAAGGACTCCCCGGGCAAGCGGACAGCACATAGTGCTGGCTCCTGTTCCTGCACCTAGTGAGTCTGAAACGGTGTCTGGGACTATCAGCAGGGTCAGACTTAGAGCGCTGTTAAGGGAAAGAGGGAGAGAGGAACTTCTTCTTGTATCTCACTGACTGCTTCTGTCAGAGATGGTGTGTTATCCAGACGTGTCACTGATCATACAGATGGACCCCAGGCACAGAAGGGGACAGTGATGTTCCCACAGTTCCAGGGCACAGGGCAGCTTCTGGGTGCCCCTCCCTTGATGAGGGGTCTGGGAAGACGCCTGAGAAAGGTGGGAATTTGAGCACCATCATTGACTGGTTGACTGTGTAAGTGTGGGGACAGTATCCACTCGGCCCCGCAGCATGTCTCCAGGAAGCATTCAGAAAATAAGAACAGGCCAGCCCGGGCTGGAGAGACGGTTCAGAGGTCAAGAGCACTTGTTCTTGCAGCCCACATGGTGCCTGACGACCGTCTCTAACTCCAGTTCCGGGGCATCTGACACTCTCTTTCGACTTTCATAGGCACTAGGCACACACACGCTGTACATGGACAAAATGCACACATAAAGTGGAATAAATGAATCTGGAGCCTGGGGCCTGTGCTGAGACACTTTGCTCAGCCTTGGTGTAGGGAGGAGAGGACTGGACCCGCCTCATCTGAATCTACCAGGCCGAGCTGAATCCCCAGGGGAGACCTGGCCTTGGAGGAGGTGGGAATGGGGGGAGGATTGGGAGGGAAGGCTGAGGGGGTGGGAGGAGGGAGGACAGGGGAATCCGTGGCTGATATATAAAATTAAATTAATTATAAAATAAAAAAATAAATCTGAGAAAAGAAGAATGAGGAGGAGGAGGAACCAATCAATGAACAGATGGATGTAGTCAAGGTACACCTGACTGAACTGTCTAAAAATTCTGCTAGGATCACCTCCCCACAGTAATTTATTAACTCCCTTCTCTGTCTGACTTTTTCCCCCTTAATACTTCTGACTAATTTGTTTGCCTTTTAAAATATATATATAGTGTCAGGTAGTGGTGGCTCACGCCTTTAATCCCAGCACTCAGGAGGCAGAGCCAGGCAGATCTCTGTGAGTTCAAGGCCAGCCTGGTTTACAAAGTGAGATCCAGGACAGGCACCAAAACTACGCAGAGAAACCCTGTCTCCAAACAAACAAACAAACAAAAACCCAAAATATATATAGTACCTATGACCCTAATTGTAAGCTCTGTGAAGGTAGGGGTTTTTGTCTCTTTGTTCTCTCCTGTAAATCAACACCCAGCATTTGGCAGGTGTTCAATAAATATTTTTGACTGAATAAATGTGTGGATGAATGAACCAGTACAAGGCCCCATCTGGAATCAGAACCACCTCAAACTCTGGCATCATCTTGTTCCTCTGCCTCCTCCTCCCCTAACCTACCTCTGGGAGATAGATCCATGTCTTTGAATTCTAAGCCGTCTGTACCCCTTTCAATAAATAGGAAGCAGGCAGAGAAAGCAATCTGTTGAGGCGCTCTCTCCTACAACAGATGGGCCTGCTTGCCATCTCTCTAGAAAGATGCTGTGACTTTCTAGGAAGGGACACTCTGCTCTCTCAGAAGCTTCCTAGGAAGGGACACTCTGCTCTCTCAGAAGCTTCCAGGGATCCCGAGTCAGGATGATTCTGGGGTAGGAGAGGCAACAGAGCGTGTGTGTATTTCTGAAGGATCATCACATTTAAGGGAAGAGGACAAACTGGATGTGAGGCGGGTCATAAAGCACGGGATGGCAAGTGTACATCTGGCTGGTTGGCAGAATGGCCTCAGCAGGGTATCGATTCCTTGCACGTCTACTTCTAGACAGGAAGATAGAGCCTGGGGCCATGGCAGCCGGGTCATGAAAGACAATAAGCTGAGAAACAGAGCAGAAAAGAGTTGCAGATGTCCTGGAAGAAGAACGTTTCAGGGGCTGGAGTGTGTGTTCTGACCACATGACTGGATAGATGGGACGTCGACGGCTCAGTAACAGGGCAAGGGCATATAAACACTTAAGGTCTGCAGCCATGGCATGCATGCATAGGGCTAGTGTCCAAAGCAGGATACACAGATGGGGCCAGAATCTGATCAGAAGCAAGAGGGATGGGCTGCAGGGCCGCTCCGGTGGCAGAGTGCTTGCCTAGCAGCTCAGAAACCAGTTATGACGATGCAAGCTTGTGAGCCCAGCCAGTGCTCAGAGGCTAGAAGCAGGAGAATTAGAAGTTCAAGGTCATCCGTAGCTGCAGAGCAAGTTTGAGGTGAGCCTCAAACTGGTCTCAAAATTTAAAACAGTGAGAGAGAGAGAGAGAGAGACAGAAAGAGAGAGAACACTGAAGAGGTGAGTATTTGAAGGGGCATCATTGTAATCATTGCCCTTGGTTCCCAGTAACCCCAGATGATACCAGTCCCTTGGGTCTTAAACTCATCGACTCCTGCAGTTCCGAACACTTTGGGCTCCAGAGCTCCCCACAGCCATTGCCAGGAAAGCAAGGACGCCTCACCTGCTCTCTCATCTGCTTCTTTTGCAGGAAAGTGTGGACCTGGGAGAGATCATGTTCTCGCTCTGCTACCTGCCCACAGCAGGCAGGCTCACCCTCACAGTGATCAAGTGTCGCAATCTCAAGGCAATGGACATCACAGGCTACTCAGGTACCTCTCCTAGCCGGGGCTTGTCATTTGGCCTCCCTGAAGTCCAGTGGGATTTAGAAGAGTATTCAGGAAGAAGGGGCAAGAGTTGCCACTCTCCTTAGGAGGCAAACTGCCTGCATCTGAATCCCCTTCTGCCCCCTCCTTCCTATGTAAAGATGTGGATTCTGTACTGGTCTTCTGCCTCTGTGTAGGCATAGATCTGCCATGACTGACTTGAAGGAGGAAAAGATTGTTTGGCTCACAGGCTCTAGGGTGTCAGCCCGTAGTCATCTGACCCTCCTACTTTGAGCCTGTGGTAGCCCAGTACCTCATGGCAAGGAGACCTGTTAGGGGAGCCTGTTCCCCTCGTACCAGCTGGGAAATAAGGAGAGAGGAGTGAGATCAAGGTCCTAATATCCCTTTCAAGGGCATGTCCCCAGGAGTCTAGAGTTTCTACCATGACTAGTCCCACAGGCTGGGGACCAGGGCTTCAATATCCTGGAGGGACATTCAAGATCTAAACTGCGGCAGTTTTTTTACATCTGAAAAGGAGGAGTGTCAATCCTGTGCACTGGTCAAATTTAGAATATGCTCAGTAATCCACACACTTGTAGGCACTCAGTAGATACTATTCTTATTAGTCTCGTTGTTGGTGAAGGGCAGTCTTCCCAGTTAATATGGGGTTCCAGAACTTACAGAAGTTATATGGAGTTGGAATGTAAGTGTTAACAGGTTCACCCAGGCCTGGGGCGGCAGTCTGCAAACTGCGTTCACCAAAGGAGTGGATACACTGGAAAGCAAAGTGCATTTGGGTTCAAGTATTTGTGGTTTTCCTGCAAAGCTCCTGCATCGGTCTTAGCACCACAGCAGCTGCATTGAATAGAAATCTAGTGCAGTTCCAGCCGCGGGGAGACGCTTGTGTGAAGGCGGCTGCAGAAACTTGCAGACTTGACGGGGTACAAGAGGTTCGGTCCTTCCTGCTGCTCTGCAGGTTGTCATAGGGCAGCAGTTCTAAACCAGTTCTAAACCCCTTCGGGGTTGCGTGTCAGATATCCTGCATGTCAGAGATTTACATTAAGATTTATGACAGTAGCAAAGTTACAGTTATGAAATAGCGATGAAAATAACGTTATGGTTGGGGTTCACCACAGCATGAGGCACTGTATTAAAGGGTCGCAGCACAGGGAGGTTGAGAACCCCTGTCATAAGGGAACTTATCTGTGTTTTGAGTTAACAAAGCAGTAGCTTGAGGCCTGGAAACCTCCTTCCCCACTGTGAGTTCAAACGGCCCTGAGATGTGTATTAGTGAAGCCTTCCAGAGAATTTCCCAGAGAGCATGGGGCTGCATCAGGATACTGAATATGGGAAGAGGCTTGGTTTGTTTCCTAAGACCTCCATCCAGTCTTGAAATGATTCTGATTGTCAGTGTAAAACCATACGGAAGGCATCTCTGACCTTGAATGAAAATACAGAAAACAATTTTCCAAGTGTTTCTTTTGTGTTCACTATTTATTTTCCTGGAAATATGATTACAAGTGCCAGGAAAAGGAGATGATAGTGGGGAAAAACATAGTGGCACACATCTGAATCCCAGAGTCCGGGAGGCTGAAGCAAGAAGACTTCAATTGGAGGGCTATCTAGGCAAATAGCAAGTTCAAGGCCAGTGTGAGCTACGTAGTGAGACCCTGTCCCAAAAACACAAGAGCGGGCTGGAGAGATGGCTCAGCGGTTGAGAGCACTGGCTGCTCTTCCAGAGGTCCTGAGTTCAATTCCCAGCAACCACATGGTGGCTCACAACCATCTGTAATGAGAACTGGTGCCCTCTTCTGGCATGCTGTGTACATAATAAATAAATCTTTGGAAAAAAAAAAAAAACACAAGAGCCAGGTACGTAGCACAGTGCTAGAGAGAGTACTTGCTTAGCATGAATAAAACCCTGGATTCAGTACCCTCCATGGCAGAGAGTAAAATGAGAGAGAGGCTGATGGTCTAGCTGAAAACATCTGGGCCCAGGTACACCCTATGAAGATGGAGGAAGAGGTCGGGGGACTTGGAAACTGAGTTTTCTTTGAATCCTTTCAAGTCCCTGCTCCAGCCTCCCACAGTCACTGCAGTGCCCACTTGAGTCCTCAAAGCCCTCACCCAGGGCCCCCAAGCAGCTCTTCCTCCCCCAAAGCATCTGACTCACATCAGGATGCAGCAGAGAGCGTCATGAACCTCTGCTGACATGGGAAAAAGCTCTCGGCAACAGCAAGCCAGCTTCCCCCAAATACAGCCAATGTAGATTTCATTTTAATACCAAAATAAGTGCACACGAGGACAGAAATTCACTAAGGACTCTCAAGGCGGCTGAGGGAAATAGGATTTTGCTGCCCTAGTCCCCAACACTGTCTTCTCTGTTGTAATCAAATTGATGCGCTAGAGAGTGATCTCAGAGTGAAGCCATAGATGATAACAAGGACTGCTGTAAGTCGGAGGGTTTGGGGTGAAGAGATTGTTTTTAATGTTAAGTTCTAACCTCTCCCTCACAGCTTCCCCTCATCCCTACCTGGGTCTGGAATCCTATGTTAAATCTCAGCTGGATTCTGTAAATGCAAGGGCCTCCTTTGCACCAGAGATACATATTTTGTTCATTGAGATGTGCAAGTCTCTGGAGCAATGCATGAAACATTACAAGCATTCATGAAATGTGGACTAATGAATGAGCAAGTGAACGGTGAATAAATGAATTTACAGATAGCATATGAATCTGGCCCAAGGTGATAAAGTGGATACTCGCATGCCCGGGGCGCCTCATGATACATCGTCTGTTTGTGAGGTTGAGGTTGTGGTTGCCTTCAGCCCAGACAGGTCTGACATTGGACTAAAGTGGAAAGAAAACAGAGCTCCTTAATTTGTGTTCTAGCCTTAGGGGTCTGGCACTGACCTCTAAAACCAAACATCTTCCTCCTCTCTTTGATCCAAACTAGCCCAGAATCAACTATCTAAGCCTATCTCCTAGAACCATGAGAATAAAAGTGGTACAAAATAATTAGAAAAACCAGTATGCTACAGAAGTGTGGATTAACCCTTTTGTCTCTGATGCCTTTGGTTTACACTGCTTTGTAGCTAGTGGTCAAAAGTGACTTTGGAGTCAGGCCTGGGACCAACTCCCAGGCAAGTCATTTAATCTCTCTAAGCTTCCATTTTCTGCCTATGAAATGGAGATATCAGTGATAAATGTTTTGCAGGGGAGATGGAAAGTAAACCTGGTGATAGACATCTCTTATCACAAGAACATGTTCCAAATGCTGAATTCTGATGACTCCCACACAATGAGGCAGGAATACAGTGCTGGGCTTTAGGCCCCTGGTGCTCAGGGCATCATAGAGAAGAACAGACCTCAAGGATCATCTGGGGCCACCATTTCACTCCATGCCACAGCCATTTCCCAGAAGCACCCTGGGGAGCAGTCATCTCGGTTCTCTGATTAGCCTCTTAGATGCTGGTGAGAGCTCAGTTCCTGCAGAATGGAATCTGCTCACTGAATGCTGTAAACCAGACATTCCTTGCATGGATGGACAGAGCTCAGAAAGAAGGCACCGGCCCAGCGGCTCATGGGACAAGTGGCTATGCCTATATTTTCCTTAAATGGAAATGTGTTCTGAATGGAGTGTCTGACCCCAGGAATAGAGGAGGAACTAGGTGGCGCAAACCTAGAGACACTTTCTAAAGCAGTGTGTAGCTGGAGAGACTTGAATATTAAAGATGGGTCTTGGGCTTGGTTCTTTCCACTTGTGGTGACCTGAGCAATGTCCTGGGGAATAACTATAGGGAAGGGAGCCTGTGGGAACCAGACAGCTGTAGCATACAAGCTCTCAACACTTCTTCCTCTTTACCAAATGCTCCCTAGAATGGGGGGCCCTGAAAGTGTATAGTCAGGACAGGAGGTTGATTAAATTCCTCATGGTCTCCCCAGCTCCTCCATAAACCCAAGTGTCCCTGTGGTTAAGGCACAGCTGCCACTGCCATACTGGTTCGTCAGCAGCTCCCTTGGACGTCGATGAGAATGCTTTCAAGGCTTGGAGCTCGGTTGGGCTCATCTCGTGGGCGGCTAGTTTTTACTCTAAGTGGAGCCTTCATCTGCCCTTTCCCTACATGATGCCAAACAGTATGAGGCCTAGTGGGTGCTCAGGGGTCCAGGAGGCACAGCTGCTTACCTCAGAACTACAAGGCCAGGAGAGGGGCTACTTTGGCTCGCGCCTCCTTACAGGTCCACATGCGCCCTGGCTTCTGGACAAGAAGGTGTCTGAGCACATCGAGGTCTCAAAGCTATTATTACCTGTGAGTTGTCTTCTTTCTTGAGCTGTGCAGCATAAATACTAATTATGATGGTGGCTGAGACACCTGTTCTATGAGATATAATAGGTGTCCCTTCATCTGGATGAGTAGAAAATTTCAGGGTAGAAAGATGACCATGAAATACCCATTCAGAGAGCTAAAGGGGAGAGAAGATTAGGAGGAACATGGGAGTTTAATAAAAAGACATCTCTTTGCAGCATGGAGAGAATCCAAGATCCCACTGAGAAATAAAATGTCAGCCAGCTGCCCCGAGTCTCTGGGGACTGCTCACTCGCTCTCCTGGCCACTGCTCCACCTTGCTTCACTGCTCAGAAGTGGCCAGGAAATGGCTTCCAGGGAAGCAGCGGGCAGGGCCACTTCCCTGCTTCTTGATTCCAAATGGAAATGAGATTACTGGGACAATGGGACCCAAAATCATGCCTTCAAGTGGGAAGGAGAGGAGCGGCATTGTGACTGATGCTGTGGCTTCATTCTGACACGTGGCTGTTCCTTGGGCAACACTGAGTCCTATTTTTACCCCCTTTTATCTTTTGGCTAAAAAGCTGGCACACCTCCAGAGAAAATGATTCTGTATGGGTGAAAAACAAAACAAAACAAAACAAAAAACGGGGCCTTTGTTAGCGTCAATGCTCTTGAGCTCTCCAGCCACGGTGCAGCTGAGATTCAGGGTTGGGAACTACATAACCATCGACAAGTGTCTTGTCTAAATTGGGGCTAGTTTTCCTATTAGTGACACACCATTAGGCGGTCTCCCAAGAATACAAAGGTAGCTAAAGACTGCGTTTATTAAGTGTGGAGCGTCCTCAGAGACAGGTGTTCTACATAAGTACAAAGTGACTTAATTATCTTAACCCACCGAGCCCATCTGATGAGCAGCCGTGGGTCCAGAGATTCAGTCCCTCTGTGGCAAAGGCTGTCTATCGAGGGCTCACACCTGTCATCTCAGCACTTGGGAAGGCCGAGGCAGGCAGATGGCTGTGAGTTTGAGGCCAGCCTGGGCTACAGAGTAGAACCTGTGTTGAAAAGCCAGCAAACGAAACAACGACACTCAGTTTAACGCACTCCATTCTTGCACTGCCCTCACGGGCACAGATCCCTACGTCAAAGTGTCCCTGCTGTGTGACGGCCGGAGACTGAAAAAGAAGAAAACAACCATAAAAAAGAACACCCTCAACCCTGTCTACAACGAGGCCATCATCTTTGACATCCCCCCAGAAAACATGGACCAAGTGAGCCTGCTCATCTCCGTTATGGACTACGATAGGTAGGTGCCTTCCCGGGGGAGAATGGTTACCTTCCTCCAATGCAGCATAGGGGCCCTTGACTTTAGACCTGTAGTTCAGGGCCCATCAGTTTCAAATATGGCTCCACTTAAGAAACACATGGGAGTTTGAGGAAGAACTTGGGCTTCCCCTTACCCAAAGCTCCAACTTCCCTTCCCAGTCTGCTCCCATCAGGGATAACTCCACCTGCCAGCTTGCTTGAATTCATCCGTGACTACTTGTCTTCTACTTGCCAAGCCCCATCTTCTGCCCTTTCAAACACCTCTCCAGCATCTCCTCTCCTGCAGGATGGCTCTGCAGCCCTCATCACCCTCGGCCCTAAGTCAGCCACCATCTGCCTGGACACTTTGCTCCTGGTCCTGCCCTTTTGAAAAACCATCACTGGCTCCCATTGTCCAGACCTCCAATAATCTGGACCCCAAATCACCATCCCACTAACTCCCCCGCCCTTTCTTCTCTCTTTTTTGGATTCTTCCCTCTTAAGGCTGGCTCAGATCCATTTTCAACCACTTCATCTCCCATGACTCTTCTCCAAGAATCGTTTTAGCTGAAGGATGCAGAAATCACACAATAAAGCCTCAACCTTAGATTTTTAGCTCAGGTTCTCAGGCATAGTAGGTGCTTGACAAACATACTTGAGGGATGATTTATGTTCTTGCTGAGTGAATAAATCGAAGCCTAGCCACTAGCGGTATGGAGAAATGATGCTCAGGGCAGGTTGGTTTATTTCCAAGTGCTGGGATCTCCAGAGAGGTTGTAACATGCTTCCCAAGTCAAATAAGTGAAGAGTCGGGCTCCTAACACCCAGAGGGGCCTTCTGTCACTGCTTCCTGAGATTCCAAGTAAGTCTGTAGCCTTTGCTCCCTTCTTTAAGTCCCTTACCATAAGAGGTTGGGCAAAGCCTCAGGGCCACTGGCAGCTGAAGACCCTGATATGCATTGATCTTCAGAGCTCATGGTTCTGAGTTAGATGTACTAGACAGAGTCCCTCTCCCAAAGGACCTCTCTTTCTGGTAGCATTTTGAATGACCAATACTAAGACCTTTGTTTCTCCCTCAGAGTTGGCCACAATGAGATCATAGGAGTCTGTAGAGTGGGGATCAATGCCGAAGGCCTTGGCAGGGACCACTGGAATGAGATGCTGGCATACCCACGGAAGCCCATTGCACACTGGCACTCCTTGGTGGAGGTAAAGAAATCCTTCAAAGAGGTGGGTGAGGTTGCCTGGCCATTGCCATGTTTACTGCATGACGGCCTGGGCTGGAGAATGGCAGACGGCTGCTGGGAGTCCTCCGCCTTTTATGGAAAGGGACATGGGGAACACCCAGTGTATAACACACAGATGAGAAAGAAGATGGAGGTTGCCTGGCAAAAAGTCCCTGAGCACTGTGAGCATTTCAGAAGTAACAGTGATGGGCTAGGGATGCAGTTCAGTTGATGCCTGGCCTAGCATGCATGAAGCCCTGAGTTCGAGCTCCAGCACTGCCTAAAGCCAGGTGTGGTGTGGTGACACACACCTGGAACCCCAGTGTTTGGCAGGAGGATTCATAGCTTAAGGTCACCTCAGCTTCATAGCAGGTTTGAGGCCAATGTGGGCTACACAGGACCTTGCCTCGAAAAATAACAAAGTTCAAAAGCAACACCAAGTTCTTAATGGAAAGTAAGAACTCTGAAGAAGTTCCCGGAAGTCCATTGTGCCAGGCCTGAAAAGCTTTCAAAAGCTCCTGGGCCAATTTAGTCCTGTAGGAGTAAGCCCCCAGGGGGTGAGGTCAGAATTGGCAAGGAATTCCACCTCCATCAGAACAGTAAGTTCCCTGAGGCTCCAGACAGCTCCTGCTTGGCAGGCCATCTCATCCACTGAGATAGCCAGAGAGCACACTTCCATCTGCTGCACGCAGCTTCTTCCTGTAGCTAGGAGAGAGTATGGTGTCACGCGTCACACCCCCTGGCTGAAACTGGAGGCCTGCATTCTAACAAAGCCGGGCCTGCAGTCTTGGCCTCCTCTGAGCCCATCACTCCTCTCTCCATGGCAGCTTTGAGGGATATTTATTGTCTGTCCAACCTGCACCAAACCCAACAGATGAAAGTTCCTGTGCTCTTTCCAGACTCAGGACACATCTGCCTGGACACTTTGCTCCTGGTCCTGCCCTTCTGAAGAACCACCACTGGCTCCCATTGTCCAGACCTCCCATAACCTGGACCCTAAAATACCATCCCCCTAAATCCCCTCCCCTTTCTTCTCTTGGTGGTCCCCGGGCCTGCTTTTCCTCAAATGTGCTAGGATTTGGGTGCTGGGGTGATCAGTCAAGCTTTCAGCATCATTTTCAGTATCTCATACCCAGCTCATCCTGGAAAGCCTGGTGATAATTCCGCCATCCGTGTAGGCACTCACTATGCCTAGAGAACTGTACAAAACAGGAAACCTTTAATTCCAAACTAAAGAGTTCTCCCTTCTTCCACGTGGTCTTTGAGAGTGACCCACTTTTCCCACTCCGATCAGAAAAGGCACGGCGCACCTGCAGACCCCCTTCCTTCCTCAGGGTGGGTCCAGCAATCCCAACTATTGTTCAAGGTGTCGTCTCCAGAAGGAACAAAAGCTAAGGGGGTCGGACATGTTGAAATCTATTGGAGAAGGTGGCTTCCTGGGAGCCAGACTAGTCAGCGTACCTGCCCAAGCCCTGAGGCAGAATCGAGGCATAGGCCAAAGATCCTGCCAACTCAGGGCTTCCCATCCAGGCTTGTGGCTGCCCAGCTTTTACCACACCTGTGGTACTTCAGTGAGAGACCAGTCTCCCAGGGCTCCTCCTCCCTTTGTGGAGCCCCGCCCTCTCAGACAGAAGACTCTTCTGGCTGAGAGGGGGTCCTACTCCCAGTCATATGTAGGCTCACTGGGCAGAGCACTAGCCAACCTGAAGCCGTTCTAACACCCCACCAAAGTCCATGTGGATTCAACCCAGGGACAGGAAGTGATGCCTTTATCCGCCCCCCCCCCACCCCCGTGGTGTAATATTGTGGAGGCATTTAAGAATAGAATTCCAAGGAGTTTGGGGGCCTGGCATGGAATGTGCCGTAAGAGGCCTTCGGTGTGCTGTGACGCTTTAAGTAATTCACTGCCCTCCTCTGGTCCTTGGTTTCCGGGTTGATAAATGAGAAGAAAAGACACCCCCATCTCAGCTGTTCTGATGAGTGCTAACTCTCAGGGGCACATGGGCCCAGGAACCTCCATGTTGAACCACAGCTGTTTCTGCAACCTGCAATAGAGAGTCACATTGCCAGGCCCTCCCGCCCGCCTCTGACAAAAGAAACCACCAGAGCAGCGGCGGCCGGAGCGAAGTGCAAAGTACCCGAGCCGTGCCAGGCCCTGATCCTGGAATCGTGATGAATACTGTCTAATTAAGCCAAATAATTGATTCCAAGGGCCTTTTCTTTGAGAAACTCCAACTGTCTGGTCCAGATGACAAAGGCAAGATAAAGCGGAGCGAAGCCCTTGAAAATGAATATTTGATGAGACAGTAAAGGGAAAGTAACTGTATATGGAAAACGAAAAAGAGATTAAATTGATTCATATCCTTTGGGTTTACTTTTTTCCCTTGACCTGGCAGCGGGGAGAGCGCCCCTCCCCCACCCGCTCTCCTCTCGTTTTCTTCTGCTCAGAGGATTGCTTCTCTCTGCGAGGAGATGGAGACGCTGAAGATGACATTTGTCTCGGCAACTTAGGACTCCGGCCGTCCACACTGGGGTGGTTTTACTGCCCCTCTTAACACCCACAGTTAACGCACCTTTCTAAAACTGCGTCTACAGCCTTGCCTGGCTAATAAGACCTTGTCACTCTGTTCCTGGGCTTCTTTTCACCGGTGTCCTCCAGACATCCTGTGAGCTCACATCTTGCCTTCTGTGGGACTGGTTTGCTACAAACTCAGATCTTGTATTTGTGCTACCCACAAAGAAACCTTCCCAGCTTTCGAGATGATGAATGGCCTAATCTCTGCAAAGCCCTCCGTGTTTGCTTCACACCTCTCTCAGTGGAGTTTCCAACGCTGTGATCACTTCTTTTTTATTAATGAGAACAGAGAGCACCCTGCATGCTCCACTATTTGGGGTTTAAAATTAAGGTTGAGGGAAACAAATTAACTGGAAAGGCATTTCTTCCCTGATTGGATCTCTCATGAATAAAAATCCATTAAGTCATAACCAGTACCCTTCCCTCCCAGTGCTACGTGTCACTGTTGCCGCCTCCCCTCCCCAGATGGTTTGACCAGTGACCTTATTCAAGGTGCTTCATGAACAAAGGAGCATGTTCAGATCATCTGACATAGATTCTGAGATCGCAGTTGGAACATTACCCATTTCAGTACAGCAAAGGACCTGAGTAGGACACAGCTGCCCCACAACAGCCAGCTCCCGGTGTGCAGGGGACAGGTTTTCTGTCATTTCAGAGCCACCTTGATTAGTCTGCTGGAATCACTCGCCTTTGCATTGTCCATGAAGCCCATCTCTTCCCTTTATCTTCATAGGAAAACTCAGGGGCCAGGAGCGGAGCCAGTGTTCCTCACAAACAGTTATGCTCTGCATGACTGCTCTCTGGGCTGCTGTAGAAGGGAACAAGGCCCTTCGCCTAGTCATCTCGTGTTTTCGACCCTGGCCTGGCCTGTGGGTCAGGCTGTTTAAGTGGCATGCTTACCCAGGGGAGAGTCCCATTATTGCTGTGTACCTTGCACTGACTAGAGGTGGGAAGGGAGTGATTTGGAGTTCTGCTGAATGGAAACACAAGGAGCCATCTCATGTCACCTTCTGGTTAAGAAACACTGGAGTCAGAAGTCACAGGGGGCTCAAGAACCAGGCATTTATGTATCTAAAATATTTCACCAGGGAACCCCTCGGTTGTGATTTCACTCACGTGGATGCTGCAAGCGGAGAGACAGCCACTGGAGTTAGGAGTAAGTACCTGGTGTGGACCTGAAGAGGTTAGGCTTCGGCTTACACTGTGTGTCTCTTTCCTCCCCTAGTGGGTGGTCACACGCCAGCACAGTGGCAGGATGGCCTAGAAAGGACAGTGTGTTGGGAGTGAGGAGACCTGACTGGGTCCTGGCTCTGCCCCTAACAGTCTGGATCTTGACTTCTCTGTGTTTCTGTGTGCTTACTTGTGTCCCAAGTTCACCCCTGGTTCTAACATAGTGAGCTAGTTCAGGCCAGGGGCATGCCGTGGCTGTCATCTACACCTACAGCCCTTAAGGTGGTTGTAGAAACCTTCAGTGTGACTGTACAGGGGGAACTAAGGAGAAAGTAACCCAGAGAAGAAGCATGGACTCTCCTTGGCCCTGTAGGCGTCCCGTTTACTGTGGAGGCGGTACTGAAGTTAAATGGTCTACTTCTCAAGGTATCTCAGCTCCGTCTGGAAATGGTTGAGAAAGGGGAACTTTGTCCTGGATTCCTCCCACAGCATTCGAATGCATGCTCCCTCAGCTCCATCTCTTCAGGAAAGAGATCCCTATAGCTCATGAGAAGCAGAAAGGGGCTGGATTTGTGGTTCAGAAAGCCATCCAGACCACTTAGCACGCACTCTCTCTCTTCCCCCCCCTTCCCTCCTGCCCTCCCCCCCTCTTTCCCTCTCCATCCTTCTCTCCCTCTCCCCCCTCCTTCTGGAGCCTGCTCTGCAGGCAATGAGAAAGCACTGGTTCTCCCAGCCACAAAAGATTGAGTGAGCAGCGGACACTGACTCACTTTGAAGTTAAAGCCCTGCCAGATAGGTCAGGAATATTCACAGGGTCAGATCTCTGCCCAGCAAACATCACAAAGCTATGACTGACTTTTACATCGAATGGCTCCAGGCACAGGTCCATCCATCCTCTGCGCTCCTTCACTCCATTACGCCTCATTACATCACCCACTTCAATGGGGCTCCGAGGGGCACGGGGAGGAGGGGTGTAGAGGGAATGGGCGGGGCTGTGTCTCCTCACCTCCTGCCCCTTCACAAGCCAGTGCAGACGCTCAGAGGATGCCTTAAGACTGAAGAAGAGAGCCCCAACCGAAGCAGCACCAGGGTTACTTTTTCCTGTGTTAACGCCTCCCAGACAAATCACTAATAATTCATGATCGCAGGTTCTTGGCAGTAAGGGCACATGCTGCCTCTCTTTGCTGCTAACATAATCTGATTTTCAGTGTGTGAAAAATGGCCAAAGCACTCAGAAATGGTTCAGTCATAGCACCGCATTAAAACACACACACACACACACACACACACACACACACACACACACACACACACACTCCATATTGTAAAGGAAGCTGAAATTAAGTCTGCAGTAGATCTTTTCTACAAAAACAAGCATTGCAAACAGCTCTGAGCTTGTATCTTTGTTTTGCATGGCTGACAGCAAAGGTCTAGAAAGCTTACTGAGGCCGGGAGAGGTGGACACAGTGCATGGGCCAGTGAATCAGATATCAATCCCCCCCCCCCGCCCCCCAGCAATCAATAACGGGGTTTTCTTCTCCCCACAGTGGCAGGGCCGAGCTGCCAGCTTCGACAGTGAGAGCTCATGCCCATCTCCGAAACCACCTCCGACACCATGAGCCGCACAGCCGAGCCACACAAACGGGACTCAGCAACGTTCTTTTCACACTTGTTCCGGTCGTCCAAACGCAGTGTTTGTGCAGTCACGGTGATGGCCGAGCCGCCGCCACAGCAGCCACTGCCTGCAGCCCATGGTCTTCACTGCTCCTGTGCGGGGCAAGGCCGAGACACTTGTCCTTTGTGATCAGACCTGTCTTAGTCTTTTCTGTCTCCCAAGGTGATGTTTTCATGGTTTTTCGCTTTGTTTGGGTCTGCTGTCAAGAAGGAAAGGAAAACACAGTGGTTAGAGACATAAAACAAAGAGTGGAGAGCCCAGAAGTTGGTTCTGGGACATACAATGTAAAATAAGCTGTCTACTGGGGAAAGGCAGACTGAATCTGAGATTTTGTGCCTCCACCAAGCGCTCACCCCTGGAGCTGTGGCCGTGTTTTCAGTGTCCTGCAAGAACGGGACCTATCAATCTCGGAGCCTGTCTGGGGTGGATTGTTCTTCTTGGGAGCTCTTCACTGCAGTGACACAAGCCAAGACATGGTCCTCTTGTCCCACGTTGAAATCATGAGACCTCTGTCGTGTTTGTGACTCTGTGGGGGATCCCTGCTCCCCTCTTTCCCCAACTGGAACCGTTTGGATTCCTCGCGGGAACTTAGCACTTTCCTTAGGAATGGTCCCGCTGAAACTAACCACGCCATATGTTTTCCAACACGCCACAGTTAATGATCACATTTGTTTGAAAACACGAGCTTAGTTCTCAAAAATAACCTTCACTGTAAAGAAAGGAGGCGCATATGTTCCAGAACGATTTCTGTGTTATACATAGCTTTATAATTCCACAAAGTACCAAGCAGCTGCTTAAAATGCCTAAACAGAGCAAAGAAAAAAATCTAGATAACATGTTCTTATCTGAATGGGGCATTTTGAAATCCAAACCACATTTTTAAGTCTGCCTGTCTGTGAAGAGCCTCCTGTTAGTTGAAACCCAGTCAGCCAGAGACTAGTTCAGACTCTGGGTCACTAACTCACCTTAAACTTTAGTTCTATTAACTAGTAAGTATTCTGTGTTGTTTGTTTCTGTCTCAGTGAGAGGATCTTTGCTTGTTTGTTTTTCTATTAGATCTCTACCTTAGGCCAAATTCAGTTTAGAAAACAAAAACGAACGACTGTATTTATAATAGCACATTCCTACTGAGTGACTAGTGGCCTTCCCACTATGCCCTGGAAGCAGGGTGATCTTCTCAGTCTAAAGCAAACACATAAAGGTGAGTTACCACTCCGCTTGTGGCTACACGGTACCGATTTTCAGCGCTGTAAGACTTGCAGGAAGCCAGTCAGCTGGGGAGAAACCCTTCTTTCAACAACCGAAGGTCAAGAACACAAAAGCCACCCTCATACCTCGTGTCTTACTCTCTACCTATGCCCCCATGCTATAGGAGTAGCGATTTAATAACGTAGCTCCCATTTTAAGTCAAGCCACTAAGTTTCTCTTCTGATCTAACTTTATGTCTTCGTCTGCTAGCCAGAAGAGTGGTCAGATTGGAATGAGCCAACAGGATATTGTGGCAAGAGAAGCAGTCCACTTTTCTAGTAAATGTAGATGAGTCTAGACCCCACTGAGTATGAGCCTTGGGCTAGGGGCTGGTGTGTAAAGATTTTCTCCCCAAATATCTTGATATGCCTTTCTGGTCAGGCAGTCCCCTATTTGGAAGGACTCTTGAGACGGAGAAAACCCACAAGGTCATGACAAGAGTCCCAGCAAGCAAGCAACTTCATTGTGTTTCTTGACTCTAGCTGGACCACACTGAGGCTACCATTGCAGTCACACAGCAGGGTAACTAGGAAGGAGACAGCTGGGTCCCCTGGGTCATAAGGAACGTAGACGTTAGTGTGAGCACTCCATCCTCCCAGAAGTGGGTTCCAAATGCATGCCCAGCTGCCACCCCTAAACCCTCAGGCAGGTGGGATGCTCCATTCTAAGCTTTTAGAGAGGAGGGTGTGGTCTGCATGAATTATGGAATAACACTGCCTGTCTGAGAGACCCTTCTATGTCACAGATACTCTGTCCCATAAGTAAACATCCCAAAAGTTTCCGGAAACCGTGCCCTGGTCAACCTCTTTAGTTCCAACAGCTTTGGTATACATTAGGCATGGAGCCCACTCCAAGAAGGCTTTTAGCTCCCGGGTTCCCTTCCCCGAAGTCCCCACCAAGGGTGGCCAGATCAGTCCTCCTCATCCTGAAGCATGAATGATATGAACAGGCTTCTGCTTTCATTAGCCTCAGATTCCTCCCTCACAGATGAGAACTCACGGAAAGCTGATGCAGAATAAACTGGAATTCAAAGTTGACTAGCTTGTTGGCTTTCCCTAGTGCAAGGAACCCTTGGGGTTGGTGGTGAGCTTTGCTGAAGTTGTGATAACCCAGTCATTTGCACATAGAGGTTTGCAAAAGACACCAGATTCTCCTCTCCTTCATTTCGCAGTGTTTCTTGGCTGAGAGATGCTCCCCTCCCCCTTTGCACTTACCCAGGATGTTAATTAATTGTATCATCATTTAAAAAAATTATGTTGTTAATTACTGCTTTGTGTCTTCCCACCCCTGTCACAGCCTGGAGTTTTTATTCAATTAAATCTCTGTCTCTTGCCCATTTCTCTTGTCATTTTATGTTGCCGGATTCAGCAGGCGGCACACACACAGGGCACAGCATAGCTTTTGTTTTTCTCTTCACTTCACGTACGTGGATAGCCACTTCCCGAGTCAGAGACAGGCCGAAGGGCCGTTGGGTTTTCACTCTGCTCGGAGGACACCTGGGCACCACAACAGGCTGGGGCCTGCCTGCCTGCTGTCAGGTTGCAGCTCAGAACACTGGGGACATGGGACCCGGCTGCCCCTCAGCCACTCAGCATCACAGGCGGCCTCTACAGATGCTGAAGCCTCTGTGAGGAAATGGGTCACACTCCTAGCTGGAAAGTCAATGCTTTTGTATTTTGCATTTCCAGGAGAGAAATACTGCTAACTCCCATAAAAGTACAACTTGGCAAAGCCTTAGGAAAAAAAAAACAAAAACAAAAACAAAACAACTATTTAAAAAATAGTATCGTAGACTCAAAATTTTTAAAAGAACATTCCAGCTTAACAGAATGTCCTCTCTTCTTACCCCAGGCTTCTAATTAAATTTAGAAGGTGGCCTGTAGAGAGGCAAGTGGAAGGTACATCCATTTCTGTACAACTGCATCTAAATTACTGTTGCTCTATAGGGAACCCAACTGCTGAGAGAAGTCCTCTGATGCCTTCTTCCACCTTCCTGTCTGGTCAAGCAAGCAGAATGCATTGAGGCACCAGTTCTAACTAGGGCCTTAAAAACTAACAGGGTCCGCCGGGCGGTGGTGGCGCACGCCTTTAATCCCAGCACTCGGGAGGCAGAGCCAGGCGGATCTCTGTGAGTTCGAGGCCAGCCTGGACTACCAAGTGAGTTCCAGGAAAGGCGCAAAGCTACACAGAGAAACCCTGTCTCGAAAAACCAAAAAAAAAAAAAAAAACAAAAACAAACAAAAAAAAACTAACAGGGTCAGTATTTATTCATCAGCGCAGGTCAGGTTGCGCTGCACTAACAGCCTTCAGCTCTGAGAGGCTGGAAAGCAGCAGAGGCATAGCTCTCATTGTTCCTCTGGGCCCATCCCATCAACAAGGGGAGCCCTGCTCGATATATTTATCCAGAGGCACGAGATGACAGAGCAGCCAACATCTCAAACATTGCTCGTTACCATGCCTGAGGGAAAAGAACACTGGCATCATATTGGCCTACGTGCTCCGGCAAAGTGACTCATGTCACCATTCCTTCACAGCTCATCGCTAGAATTACCCATATGACCTCGCAGAACACACGAGGGGAAGAAGACAGGAAATATTTACTGAGTAGCCCTAGGGAAGACCACAGCGAACATAACCAGCCTGTGGAGGGTGGTAGCTACTGAATGGTTGATTCAGAAAAAGAAGGGAGCCAAGTACAAATAGTAGATGGGGAAACCGGGATGCCTGTGTAGTATGTGGTCACAGTTGGGACAAGCAGGCGTGCTGACAGTTGAGCTGAGCCGGAAGCAAGGCCGGGGAAAGGGATTCTGAGTGTGTGTCTTATACACCATGTCTTTCACTACAGCCAGGAACAGCAGAACAAGGGAAAACCAGAGTCCTGTTTGGGCCAAACAATTGGAGATGCTGGAGCGGAGTCTTGCGGACAGCTGCAGTTCCAGATGCAGCCTGGCAGAGAGGTCAGGCATGAGATGTTAATTACCGAAAGCTTGCATACCCAGAATGAGATGCGAAGACACTGCTAAAAGCTGACAGTGCTCAGTGGGTACCAGTAGGCAGGGAGGGCCTCAAAGACAGGTTCTCCAGGAACCACCATCCTTAGAGCTCAAGGGAGAAGAAAGCAACGTGAACAGTGATGGAGAGGTGGCCACGAAGTGCTGATCAATGACAACGCTGATGGACAAAAATAGATCGGTCAAGGGCTCAAAAAATGGATCTTCCTAACAAGCTCTCCCGAGGTGCTTACACACAACCCTGTTCACAAAAGTCCATTTCACTCATGTTTGCAACTCTGTTTCTTCCCCTTCTCCCCTCTGTTCTGCCCTTGCCTTTTAAAAACTGTGGTAAAATATACATAACAAAACCCATGCCATTTTGATGGTTTTTAAGTACAAGAGTTCAGTTCCACTGTGCATACTGGCCTGCAGCTGTCATCACCACCATCTACCCACAGAACGTCTTACAAAACCAAAACTTAGGGCCTTTCACTCACCACCCCCAGTGCCTAGCAACTACAGCTCTGCTTTGTCTCTTTATACATTTGAAAAGTCTAGGTCCCTCACATGAGTGGAATCATAGGGTTTGCCATTTTTATGTCTGGCTTATTTCACTTAGCATATCTTCAAGATTAATTATGTTGCAGTATGTGTTAGAACTTGCTTCCTTTTAAGGCTAATATTTCATTATGTGTAGACATGACATTTTGCTTATGCATTCATCTGTCGGTGGGAACGTGGTTACTTCCGCCTCTAGGCTATTGTGAATAATGCTTCTCTCAAAACTGGTATACAAAAGTATTTCAATTCCTACTTTCAACTCTTATATATACCTAAAAGTAGAATTAATTGCAGGATTATAAAATCTATTTTTTTTTTTTGTACCACCATCCTTATTTCCATAGCAACAGGACCATTTAATATATCCTCATCCAGGGTACATAAGATGTCTGATTTCTCCACATCTTGGCCAGGGTGGTTTTGTTGTTGCTATTGTTTACAGTGACCATGCTGTTAAATGTAAAGTGGTATCTTATTATGGTAATTAATCAATTAATTGAGACAGGGTCTCATGTAACCCAACTAGGTATCATTCCTCTGTCTCCACTGTGGGTACTAAATTTCTAGGCATTCACCACAGTGCCTTGTTTTCTATGGTGCTGGCAATCAAACTGAGGACTTTGTGTCTGCTAGGCTAGCACTCTACCAACTGAGCCCCAGCCCCAGCCTTATTATGGTTTTGATTTGCATTTCCTAGTAATTAGTGTGCTGAACATCAATGTGCTAATTGGCCATTTAGCATCTCTGGAAAAATACTCAAATTCTTTGCTCATTTTGAATTGACTCATTTGCTGTTGAGCTGTGGGGGTTCTCTACATATTCTGGATACTCATCTTCTGTCAGGTATGTGTTTTACAAAATGATCTTCCATTGTTGGCTTTTGCTTTTGGGTGGGGGTTGAGGGGTGCTTGCACCTGCAGGCCCCCAGGGGCCAGAAGAGGGCACCAGCTCCCTCAGAGCTGAGTCACAGGCATTTCAGGTGGGACACCTGACTTGTTATGTTGGTCCTGGGATCCAAACTCCCATCATCACGATGATTTTGCAGCAAGGGCTGTTAACCACTTAACCATCTCTGAAGTCCCTGCTCTTTAATGCTGCTGACCACGTCCTTTAATACCCCAAAGTTATTAACGTCGATGAAGTTTTGATGAACGGCTCTTCTGTGGCTTGGGCCCTTGATATATATAAAAAAAACAGTGCCAAACCCAATGTTTTTCCTCTAAGCCTTTTTTTACATGTAGACCTCGACCCATTTTAAGTTAGGTTTTGTGCATGCTATAAGGAATCCACTCCATGAATACCCACTTTCCCTAACGTCATTTGTTGAAAAGACTGACCCTCTCACACTGAATTGTCTGGACTGAAAATCACTTGACCACATACGCAGCAGCAGTTTATTTATTTCAGAGCCCTCTAAACTATTTCACTGTCCCACATATCTGTCCTTATGTCAGTACTACGCTATTTTTATTATCGTAGCTTTGTATTAAGTTTTGAAATCAGAAAGTATTATTCCTCCAACTTCATACAGAAAGTATTCATCCTCCAACTTATAGCTATATGGTAGACACTTGTCTAGCATACATCAGGCTCTGAATTTGATCCTCAGTCCCGCAAATACATACGTACTCTTTGGGTAAGTTTTTCCATTTCTTTAAGAAAGCATCACTTACATTCTGATAGGGATTATCATGTATCTGTGGATTGCTCTGAGTAGTGCTGACAGGGATCCCACTCTTGAGGAAACTATAATGACTCCCACAGGATACCATATGCCCATGTTCTGTCCACAAAGTCACCTCACCTCACTGGGAATCCTACAGGTTGTGACCCTTAGTTCAGGACCAAGCACAGTTCTAGAGGTCAAGTTCAGCCCTCCAGACCTCGAACACTAACTTACCTTCTACTTATTTCCTGTGGAAATCATCTCCCACAACTTCCAACAAAATTCAACTCTACAGTCCAACTTCTCTTTCCTGCCCTACCTCAAGCCCAAAATGCTCAGCCACTTCAGCGGCCTTAATCCCTATTACTGCAGGTCAACCTCTTCTGCATGCTCACAGGTATTTACTATTCACTTACTCAGTAAACATGCTGAGTGCCTTCTGAGCATCAGACATGTGAAGGCCAAGGATAGGCCAGTCAATACCAATAACAGCTAACATACACTAAGAACCGATTATATGCCAGACTACATTGAAAGTACTTCACAAGGCATTATCTCATTCAATTCTCCTTTCAATCCTATAAAATTAAAGGGCTTGGCCAAGGTCACATAACTGAATCCAAATAATTAAAATGCATGCTCAACTATGATGTTAAGCTGCCTTCTAATGGAGCAGAGTCTCAAGGAGCTCACAGTCCAGATGAGGAGACAGCCACATAAGTAGAAGTCAACGTCTCTGTAACATGGTAAGGGCAATGCTAGGGACACACCAGAGATGTGAGGCCTCCCAGGGAAGGACTGCCTAATCCAGACATCTATACAATTGTACTTCGTTGGGCATCTCTAAAACTAACTTTGAAACCTCAGTCTCATCTTTTCCACGACAGTGCCCTGCAATGGCCTCTTGGTCCCCAACATCAGTAATTCCCTCCAGGAGCTGCTAAAATGTCATGGGATCTGCTCATCACGTGACACCCTAGTTGATCACCCCATACACGTGCTCTCTGATGGATGATGCTGGGAAGGCAAAGCCTTGGTGTACCCTGGCAGCTCTACTGGAAACTAGCATGGAACTCTGCAAAGGCAAGCAATACTCACTCCTGTACAGATGTAGCT